GAGAGAGAGAGAGAGAGAGAGAGAGAGAGAGAGAGAGAGAGAGAGAGAGAGAGAGAGAGAGAGAGAGAGACAGAGACAAAGACAGAGACAGAGACAGAGACAGAGACAGAGACAGACACAGAGACAGAGACAAAGAGAGAGAGAGAGATGGGGTAGGGATAGATGGAGGGAGAGATGGAGGGAAAGAGGGGAAGTGGAAGAGAGATGGGAAGAAGAGCACATTTTTTTGGTGGTAGTGGAGGGGGAATGAGGCAGAGAGAAGGAAAGAGAGAGAGAGAGATGGGGTAGGGATAGATGGAGGGAGAGATGGAGGGAAAGAGGGGAAGTGGAAGAGAGATGGGAAGAAGAGACAATTTTTTGGTGGTGGTGGAGGGGGGAGTGAGGCAGAGAGAAGGAAAGAGAGAGAGAGAACTATTTAAATTAATGAACAGTAGAATTCAATATCAGTATTGATCATTTGTTTGTATTATTATATTTCCTACTTTTCATCGGTATTTGAGATAAGTTTTTTATCTCTTCAATAACATACATGTATTTTTAGCTCATCTGACATAGTCAGATGCAGCTTGTAGAATCGCATGAGCGTGCGTCCGTGCGTGCGTCCATCCGGCCGTGCCGCGTGCGTCCGTGCGTCAACAGTTGGGCACAAATCTTAACCGCTTAATTCTGTTTAAATAATTGCTGTTGGGATATCTTGCATCTAGGTTATAATTTTATAGCAAGGACACATTATCCTAAATGTATACTGCTGGTGAGGTGTCGTGTGTGAAGGAAGTGTTTTCTTATTTGCTTGCAGGGAAGGGTGTGGAGCAGAGCCATGCTGATGCAGTACACTGGTTCAGGTAGTTAACTATTACGTATTAGTGTCACATACACTTTCATTACATGTGTAAACAGTAATAGAAAAAGCGTGTCATTATGAAAAAGGCTCCATTTAAAAAATTAATTAATATTGGCAAAAATCTTTTACCCGATGCTACGGCTTGTCATTAGGATCCAGTAAGAAAAATAAGGAGATAACACTATTAACTAGCAGATAACACATAACAGATAACAGTAAACTGAGGGGAGTCTTCAGTATGAAATTCAAACCAAAATATAGTAATAACACGCACATCTATCTACTTTGCAGATTTAATATTAACATTTTACACTAATGAACCTTTGACACAATAGAGAATGCATTTTTTTTGCAGTCGTTAAAATAAATACAAAAATTTTTTGAAGTAAGTAACAAGTGGTAAGCACCCGAGTTGCTTTTTATTTAATATAATTATGTAAATTTACTTATGCTAACAGGAAAGCTGCGGATCAAGGTCATGCTCACGCCTCGTATAATCTGGCTGTCGCCCATCTCAAAGGTCATACCGATCTGAACACTGGGTAAGTATTCGCAGAATGGAGTGTTTTTGTTGTCTTCCTACAGGTGATGCATTTGTAGTGTACTTCACATATTGTGATAAATAATGGTGTCAAAGCATTGCATTGCAAAGCCCTCTACTGGGCAAATGTTATGAATGACCGTAGTGGATAACTGTAAAATTCCTTGCAGTTTCATGCTAACATACACTGTAATTTCACTCAAGTAAATTTTCATAGCATTTGTACAACTATTAATTACATGAACATATTTATACTAGTAAAAATATCTACTTACATAGTATACTATTTGTTATAGTGTAGATGTATACTATGATATCTTTAAGTTTGGATATATTTATATATATATAGTATAAATATAGTGATCGGCAACATTGCAGAGCATTAACTCAAAAAATAGCAGGCTGCTATAATTACTATCATAAGCTGCGTTCACACGAGGATTTCAGTACCGTACTTGAGCGTTGACACGGTAAAAATATACGCGGCTTATTTGGTACCGTACTAAAATACGCGGCTTATTCGGCGCGGAATCACATTCCGCGCTGAAACATTCGACACCACGCTGGCCGCGTATTGTCTGTCGTGTGAACGCAATTTCGAATTGCGAAACTGTAGTGCGCTTACCTAGACTGGTACCCGTTCGCTACACGACGTTAGTGTAGCGTGTGAAACTGTCGACCGGGTACCAGTCTATATTATATACCTAGCCCAGCTAAGTCTCGATTCTCGTGTGAACGCTCCGGGTTGTGTTAGCACGGTATTTCAGCCGAATTCAGCACCAGATAAGTACGGAACCAGCGAGGCCGTGTATCTCGTGTCAACGCAGCTATAGTAAAGGTATGGTTTATGCAAGATACATACTAGTCCCAGTTGGGCTTAAAGATATGTTTTCTTTTGTCGACAGAGAAGTTCGGAAACTCATTGAGCATGCATCGAATAATGGTATTGATGAAGCTGGCCAGGTCCTGAGAGAGGTCTGCGACAAGGGAGGCTGTGACTAGGCATGCCCGTACTGCATGCCTGTCTCTCTTTTAACTTCATACCACACACTGAACACATCCACATGTAGGGACAGTGATTTTCCGTTTCAAAAAATTGCCTTTTCCGTTTGGGAAAATCATTAAATCCGTTTCAAAGTAAAGAAAAAATGGAAATTCCGTTTTGCAATAGAGATTGTACACACCAAAAATGCAAAATTCCGTTTACATATATTTGCATGAAAAAAAAGGTATTTGGTACAACCGAAACACAGGGCTACCAAAAGTCGTAATTGGAAGTCATTTCGCTCTAAAACTTGTCTGAATGTAAACCATATCATTACCAATGCTATTGTCGACGGTTTTTTGTGATTTTATTGAAATTTCCATTTAATATGTTCAAATTGCGTTTTCAGCGTTTTTCCGTTTGAAAACATCTTTTCCGTTTCCAATGGCCGTTTCCGTTTTCCGTCCGTTTTCCGCGATCGTGGAAAATCACTGTCCCTACACATGTACATGCACGCACACGCACATGTACGTGCACGCGCACGTGCACTCGCACACGCACACGCACACGCACACACACACACACACACACACACACACACACACACACACACACACACACACACACACACACACTATAGCCATTGTGACGCAGATGCAGATGCAGATTCATATTGCATATGCAGACGTAGCTGTAGACCCAGGCACACACGGAGACTAATATATATGTAGGCTTAGACAAAGTCACAGTCACAGACACAGATTAGGCAGCACGCATACACACACACACAGGCACAAACAAACAGATAGACCAGGAGTTCTTAACCTGTAGTCCATGGACCCCTTTTGGGTCCGTGGATGGGCTTCAGTGGGTCCACGAAACAGACGTATGCAAAATTTTATGTTTATGTGCTTATGCACATTTTTTCTGGGGAGGGGTCTGTAGCTTTCACCAGCTCCTCAAAGGGTTCCATGAATCAAAAAAGGTTAAGAACCACTGAGATAGACAGTGTAAAATTTAACTATATTTACTTATCTATAATACTAGATGTAAAGCCAATTAGCCTTGCACATAATCATTCACATTCCAAGATGTATTTAAGATGCTATTAGCTCTAAAATAGAAGAATTCACCGCGTGCCTAAAGAACGTTATTACATGACGCAATGTTTGATCTCGATTTACGTATACGTGAACCTTTAATGTGCACTATAGTTATTACAAGTAACAGGACAACCACAAGCTTTATATAAAGCAAGAATCACCAGTATATGCAACTGTAATATTAGCATTATACGTGCGACCTATTCAAAGCATTATTTAATTTATTTGGCAAGATCCTATATTATGTGTACTGCTTGCTTTCTAGGGCAGTGCAGGTTCACGTGCATGTTACTGTGGTAAGAGAAGCTTTGGCTCTATTTTCCCTGGTTATCCTAGTCGTTTGAAGCTGATGCTATTTGTAGCCGATTCCACAGCAGTATATAATACTCATAATTGTACTTATTGGTAATTACGTAAATAGTTGCACCTGAAAAGCGTGTCAGAATAAGTGTAATTGAATTTACTCACTGCATTTCGACGCAATATATGGACAGAGTATATGTAGTGGGAATGACATGTATCATGTTTCTCTAGCACAGTTGTTATTTGATTTTTGTTTAATAGTTAGAGCAATATGGCTATTACCATACTGCTGTTATATTTATCGAAGAAAAACGAAGCGATTTTCTTAGAACGAGTTATTATTCTCACTTTATATAGTTCGATGTCGATTCAATAAGCACCCATCGAGAATATATTAGCTAGCATGTGAACAGTTAGTTATACCACAATACTGGCAAGATTGCGTCGGTTGCACACAGCCTTTGGAAATTCACGTGTAACAGTAGTGCCTGTATGTTATGTGAAACGTTCATGTGGCAATATCTCTAGAAACCAGAACTGAAAGCATGATTACCGAAAGTTTGTATCGTGGCTAACTGCGGTTTATGTCATTCCAAGAAACACGTGTGTGGGCATTGTTTCTTAGTCTACATACGCGTGTAGTTACTAATTTGATGAGTTGTTTTGCTATTTTTTTGATATATTTTTTTTATCTTGTTTTTATTTTTCTTACAGTTGATATATACTTGTATTTACCAAAAGGAATATGTATGTGATATTTTAGTCAAGCATTCCGGTGTTTATTTCAATTTCATTTTTTTGAAATGATTATATGATGTTATATTGCGTTATACATCATGCATTGCCGACGCATGCGTAATATCTCCGTCCAGTTTACTATGCTATGATAGTATTACATATTATCGTTTTACTGTTAACATTTTATTACATTGATATTTTCTTTTTCCAACAATTCGAAACGATACTGTACCTGTATAATTTTACTTTGAAAATGTTCTGAGAGTATTCACATGTGAAATAAAGCGTAATAGTTTCTGCATTGCATTTAAACCTGCGCTCCATTTCTGCTGCATTTTGTGGTCTGTTGTAATTAGAAACTTTAGCTCAAGGTATTTAAATCGTTGATCTTTTTTTAATCGGAATCATTGGTAACATCGAAATGAAAACTACTCCCGCGCTCCTACACTGTCGTATTTCATTTCATAGTTAACGAAGGACGAGATAAAAACTACCTACGTAACGTGGACGTGTGGGGACGTGTATTGATTAATTCATATTCTCGTCACTATAATATTTTCCTCCTGATCACTTTCGAAAGCAGGGTTTACTTCGACCGTTATTCCATGCACAGCCTTGCCAATCGTCGGCCTGGTTTCTTTTATTTGCTGTAACGTGTGTGGTTCTTCCACCTCTTTGCCTTCTTCAGTCGAATCCGCGTTGTATGTTCTGTATTGAAATTGAAATCAAATGTAATCAGAGACAGCAGCATATATTGAAGGAAACTCGCTCGCTTCATCTACGCGTGCGCATCAGTTAAGTAAATCTATTAAACAGCACCAAGTGTAAGATAATATGGGCCGGTACATTAATATCAAGAGTACATAATTATGTACTCTATTATGTACTATTGTTAATATCTTTCACCTGATGACATGCAAGAGTCTGGTTGCGCAATCAGCCTGGTTACGTGCTTTAATCAGCCCGGTATTATATACATAAGCTTGGCCCCAATTCTCAATTGTATAAAGTTTGTATAATATTCTGCTGATAGACCGACTGTTACAGTGATAAAGTGAAGTGGTACATCTTTGGTAGAAAGCAATTTGTAAATGCCATGCAAGCATAATTCCAACCAGGCGCGTAGCTAGGATTTTATTTTAGGGGGGGGGGGCGGCAATGAGTACGTGAAGTGTGCGAAACTGCGAATCACTTAAAGAGCGCGCGGAGCGCGCTTCCTAGGGGTGGGTGCAGGGAGGGGGGAGTTTCCCCCTTCCCGCGCGAAGCGCGGAAGCTCTGACGTTTCATTAGAATTATTGAGAACAGAAGACGATGGTCGGTTGTACCGTCTCGACTCTTAATCCTTGCATTTCAAAAATCATATGCTTTATTGTTAAACAAGATTTCGATTTTTTTTTAGGATAATCTTCACGAAAGAGCATCATGCATGTGATAACTATATTGACGTTAAATCAACTAATCACCAAACAATCAGCATTCATCATAAGATTTCCATAATTGCTAGCAGGACTGTTGTGACCAGGTCAGAACACACAATAAGACTACACAAGTACACGTAGAGAACCCGACCGCCGCTGTACCACAAAATATCCGTAGAGCTCGATAGCCAATACGATGTGTAGGTTATACGCATGTATTTATCCGAGCTCGGATGAAAGGCGACTGCGCTGGCTCAACGCTCAGTTCAGCAAAAATATTTTAAAATATAAAAGATATCGTGGTTCTTTTATATCTTTTTAACCAACAGTCTTTTGTCATGTGCTTTGATGCTCCTTTTTCTCTACGTCCTCTACTTTTTCTCTTCTCTTCTCTTTTTTTGCTGGCGTTTTGGGGGCGGCGACTCGCCCCCCCCCTGGCTACGCGCCTGATTTCAACCAACAAGAAGACTAAATGCCTAATTGACGTACGCATCTTCGTTGACAGCGCAGCCGTACACGTCGCCCAGCAGAACCAGTCGTATACATTCCGTTTCAAGCGTTACACGCCACAAGCTTCCTGGGAGACTGGCATGAACCAGCCCGTCTCCCAGAGTTACCTAAAGTAGCTGCACGGTAGATTTCGATATTCCACTATTCCACGACCACGTATTACCGTACACGGTCAGTAATAATATACTGTTTAGCACGATAAAATAGTGTACCTATTTCTGATCTCGACGATCGCATAGAGCATCATTTCCTACTATCAGAAAATCCCAGTCGTGATCGCCCAACTTCGGGGCCATACATAGGATTGCTGCCCAGGCAAAGCACAGACAAATCCTAGACTTGCCCACAGCCGAATGGTTGTAAATGCAGGCCCGTGTGTTCAGTGAACAAAACTCCAATGGATGCTGTGCAAAGAGTAGAAATGCCGACAGATGAACAGAATATTGAACAATTATATTAATATATATATACCAGGCCCCGAGTCCAGGGGGGTTCGGGGGGTCGAACGAACCCCCCCCGAGTCCCCTCCCCCAATGCAAAAAAATTTTTTTTGGAAAATTTTGTGCAAGAATTTCACCAGACTCAGGTCGGCTCCATTTTAGTGTAAATAATTCAAAATTCCCATCGTGTCGGGAGTTGAACAGTGAACACCCCCTCCCAACCCTCCCCCCCGCTCGGTCGCTTGGCTCCCTCGCCTGGCGCTTCGCGCCCGACAGGGGCTGTGTACAGGGGGGTCCAGGGAGTCCCGTGGGTTCCGCCCGGGGTGTGCCGGGCTGGATGCGGACGCCCCCCTTGCTGCGGCAGAAAACGCATCTGAGGTGTGTAATTTTAAAACCACAAATTTCTGGGGGAGGGGCGCGCCCGCCCCCCCTGTCGCGCCTGCGTCTGCAAACTATGAGTTACGAGTTGAACCCGAGTGCCCCGTCGTACATGATCTCGTACCCGCCCCTGCCGAGCAAATTGCCAACATTGAAAACCGAACCACCGTCCCCCAATAGAAAGCTGGCTACGGCCTGTATATATAATATATGATTATAGTAGGTAATTATAGTAGGTATGAGCTATAAT